CATCGACCTCTTGTTTTGCAATATCACGTCGTGAAATGAGGTTGCTACGCCGTTCGCTGCTAGCGCACGGCTTAGTTGCGACGGCTTCTTTTTAGCAGAGCATCACCTCAACTCCGAGAGGGTGAAGCTGGCAAAGAGGAGCCTACCAGCTGAAGAGGCGGCCCCACTTCACCCCCGTCACCCCTTCCCCTGGAGCGGGAACGCACGGCGGGGCGGGCGCTGTTGCTTCCCGAGGTTGAAGTTTTCAGCGTTTCCTGTCCACGGCCGGGTCCGCGACGGACCTTGGCGCTGGTAGCCATCGGTTGTTTTTGGAGCGGAAAACCAAGCAGGCTGCGCTAGTTGTAGGAGTTGCGCATTTAGTGCCGGGCTTGGGCGTCTTCGGAGATAACATCGAACGACTGCGCGATATCTCGGAGTCCTTGGGCACGTCGTCGGCGCCGTGGTTTCTGATGGGAGGTTTCAACGTTCCAGCTAGCGGCTTGAATTTATTTGGTTTCCCTCGACTCGCCCGTGGACGCGCCTTGGTCCCGTCTCTGGTAGAGTTTACGCGCAGTCAGCGCCGTGGGTCGTTGATCGACTGCGACGTGGCCTCCGAAGGCTTCGCCAGTTTTGCGCGCGTGGCCAAGCGCGCGCCTTCGCCGTTCAAGACTCATGCTTGCTTGCAGGCATCGGTGGATCACAAGGCGGTTGAGCAGAAGTTATGGAGGCGAGTGGGACCTATTCCTGTTCCTGGTTGCCCTGGCCTTGATTTGCCTTGGGAGGAGATTCCGGTCCGCTCGAAGGATCCTGGGTCGCAGGAAACCCCGTCGCACTGTGAAAGTAATTTCCTACCCCATATACGCGACCATTTTTCTGATAATGTTTCAGGCTTCGAAAACGGCATATCCCGTCCACCTGTTGCACTTGGGGACTCTGACGCACGAGGCGCCGCGCGTTCTGCTTGCGTGGACGATATCACCCAGACCCAGCATGGTGCATGGTCAGATATTATATTTAGTATTGCGCCTGCAGCAGTGCACCTTGGCCATCAGCTTGAGCAGGCAGGCGCTATGATCTCGGGTAAGAGTACTTTTGTTTGTTCTGATCGTCGGCTGCGAGGTCATCTCACCAGCCTCTTCCGCGCTGCTAGCTTACCTTTCAAGGTGGCTGATGGAGTGCGCGATTTGGGGGCCCTGCAGGCAGGAGTCGTCGCGTTTCTAAATTGCGCCAGCGGCGCGCTATGGCCAGGCGAGAGGCCCTGAGGGTCTGTTTTCTAATTCACCTGGGGGGGGCCCGCGAGCTTCACAAACCTGTCGCGCTCGCGGCTGGGTCGCGGGCCATGAAGTTTTAGGGCCCCCCCCCCTGCACAGGCCCAGTCGATGCGAGCCCAGGCGGCCACGTGCTCAGGATGGCGCGGCCCTGGGGCCTGCACTACTATTGTTCTGAATATTGCTAGTCATGCTAAGGATGACCCCCAGTCTAGGCTTCTGCATGAGCAGTTCGTTCGCCTCGGTTTGGAATCGGTTACCCCACCAACAACGAGTTCGAGTCACACAAGTTTGGAAGAAGATGTCTGACAAGCTCGCGCGCACGCAGCACCGGTGGCAGGTCGTGCGAGGTCCGATCGCGGCCACGGTGGCGGTGCTTCTCGGTTTGAATTGGGATCCTGTCTCTCCAGTGCGTTGGCGCACTGGCACAGATGTACTCCGCGCGCCGGATGGAGACTTCCCTTTCCAGCCCTGGCCCTGCCAGGTCGTTACTTGCCAAGCTATGTCGTGGAAGGCTGCAGCGGGGCACTTCATGGGGATGGGAATGGAAGGAGTTGTTGATTTGACCATGGTGCACAGGTTTCTCAAGAGCTTGGAAAGGCAGGGCGAGAGGGAGTCTGCAGGCATGGCGCGCAACATCGTTACTGGCGTTTTTTTGACTGAAGCTAGGCTTCAGGATGCGGGCTACCTCTCGCACACTGCTGGAGTTTGTCCTCGCTGCGGCGCCTCAGCCGAGACTCCGCTCCATCGTTTTTGGGGGCGCATCGCCAACGCCAACCAATCTCTGCTCGATGCGGCCGTGAATCGCACCAGCTCTATTGTTGATCGGCTTCGTGCCGAACCCCAGCGCGCGTGCTTTTGGCATCGTGGCTTTCCGCTCTTGGCTGATTCCTGCGGGCATTTGCCGCCGCCTGTCTCCTGCGTTTGGGAGCGGGGCCGATCGGTGGGAGGGGTGAGGATCGATGGAGGCCCGTGGGGCAACGACGGATCTGGGGAGAAATAGATTAAGGATTGACGGCTCCGCCGCTGTTGCTGGGCGCGCGCCCACCAAGGCCCCGCCGGCCTTGTCGACTCCATCATCATGGGCACCTTGCCCACCGTGAAGCAGTCCTCCCCGCGAGCGGAGCTGCATGCCTTGATTATGTCGGCCAGATGTACGACTGGCCATTGTAGAGTGCACTGTGATTTCCTGATGGTGGTTAAAGGAGTACGTCTCCACTTGCAGGCCAAATCTCGTTCGTCGACATTGGACTTGTAGACAAAGCATCATGATGTTATGTTGTCCCGCGGGGGTTCTATCCAAGTGCTAAGGACGAAATCACATCCCACCCACGCCCAACGCCAAAGCATGTTTTTGAGCGACGTGGAAGTTCATCTGAATCAAGCTGTTGGTTTTCTTTTGCGGACGCCGCAGCCATGCGCGCCCAGGTTCCCGAGGATTTAGCGCATCAGACCCGCAGGGCCGATAAACTGGCGCCCGATGCGTTGTCGCGCTGGTTGGCGGTCCAGCGGGAGATCCTTTTCACTGGGGAGCGGGAGCGGGCTGAGCTCGTTCCTAGAAGATGCCGCGGCCAACTAACTAGCGCTGTCGAGCGGCTGTGTAGATTGCGAGACCGTGGGCATGAGCCTCAGTTGCGGAGTACGGTCATTGAGTGTTCGATGTGATTCAGAGGTTTAACACTGAGAGAGAAGCTGGCGGATGTTTGGCCCGGCTTTTGCAAGCCGCGCTGTCTTGTGCAGCAGAAGATCCAGAGCTTGCCCCCAAGGCCCCCTTGCCGACCCGAGGGGGGTGGACCACCCCGTCCCAGATGACCTCGTGGCAATGCCAGTCGGAGGGGCGGCTCTGGACCACCCGTTGGCCGAGTTTTGTGATGCGCCCCATCAGCTTGCGGTGCTGAGAGATTGTTGTTTTGTGGGGTATGTGGCGAATTCTGCACAGTCAATCCCCCTCGGACCCTCTCCAAGGCCTGCGGGAAGCCTACATCTGCAGGTCGCGAGGTGTTGTCACGGCTCTCTAGAGGGCTGCCCCCGAAATCGGGCACCTCCTTCCCTGATTTGTGATTTGATTATTGAGCGGCCTCCCTAGAGGAGGATGACGCTTAAGATAGAAGTAGAATTAGAATTACTCTTCCTCTTCCTCCTCCTTTTCCTCCTCCTCCTCCTCCTCCTCCTCCTCCTCCATCTCCTCCTCCTCCTCCTCCTCCTCCTCCTCCTCCTCCTCCTCCTCCTCCTCCTCGGGACCCCTCCGGCGCAGCGATCCCTGGATGTCGCCACTCAGCCCGATTCGACTCGACTCGTCTTCCTGGCGTGTCTGGCCAGCGCCTCGCCTCGGGCGATGGCCCCGACAGCGACGCTGGGGAGCCGCAGCGGGTCTTGGCGCAGTCGCCAGCCCCTCGAGGGCCGCCCGGCAACGGCTCGCGGGGCCCCCCCCCACACGGGCAATCGCCGAATTCGTGCCAGCCTTGGCGGGAGAGAGAGAGGGGGGGGGGGGGCGAGATCTGGCGGGAGGAGGGCGGCCTGAGCAGTATACGAGGGGGGGACGGGGGAAAGCGAGGGGGGGGGAGGAAGGGGGACGGAGGGAGAAGGGGAGGGAGGGGGGGGAGCAGTAACCATGTGAATTCATAGGGTTCCGTGGAGTTGCAATTTCGGAACCATCTTGGAACCAAATTGGAACGATGCAGGATCCACGTGAATGCATAGGGTTTCGTGAACTTCGCAACTTTGGAAGCATCGTGGAACCAAGCCAGAACCACCGCCCTCGGACGCCGGACCCATTGAAACGACAGGGATCGAGGAGGGCGAGTTTGCTGGGCACCCTCTTGGCCTCATCGGCCGATCTTCAAAATTGCACCAAGTTACCTAACCGCCTGTAAGGGAACTCCCTCGCGCAGCCCTGGAGTTTCCCTGAGCAGTTTCGGGCACGGCCAGCGTCTTCCCGACGCCTTCCGGTCCTCCCCCCCCCGCAACCACACAGAAGACATTCCAACCTTTTGGGCGCGCCTAATTTGGTCAAATCCTTCGGGGACCTGCGGGACTCTCCACGACCCCCTCTCCCGAGAACCGCTTTGGCACCGACCCCAGACCCCCGACTTCGCGATTCTTTCACCTCGTCGACCCCCAGAGGTCTGGACCCCTTCCCCGGGACCGGTTTTCTTCATCCTGAGTCGTTCTATGGCGGCCCTGTGGCCCGGGAAGGGCCCCCGGAGGCCGAGGATAGCGAAAAGTTCCGGCCGTAAGTTGTGTCGCACCGGGAGGAGGTCTGGGGAGCAGCCTCTGACGCCGGGCCACGAGCGGAGAGACGTAAGATTCGAGCAAGCCAGAACTGTGATCTGTCGACGTCTCTTGACGAGCGCGTCCTGGAGTCTGACGGCCCAGTGTCCGCAGGGTGTCTGCAGCGGGAACTCGCGTCCAATTCCAAATTGGGCCTCGCCGCTTTCAGGAGGGCCCCGTCGGGCCAATCCGAGTCCCCCGCACCCGAGTGTTACCTCCCCAGACATGCGACGTCCTGATTTTTTCAGGACGGCGTCCCCGGAAGTCCTGGCCCTTTCCCCGGGGCCGGTTTTTCGTCCTGAGTCGTTTTTTGACGGTCCTGAGGCCCGGCGAGGGCCCCCCGAGGCCGAAAATATGCCCCCCCCCCCCCCCCGTCCTGATTTTTGTTACGACGCGATCATGTCTAGGTCTTTTCGAGGCGAGAGCAGCGAGAGAGGCGCCCGCCCTGGGCGGCCCGGCCGGCGCGCCCGCGCCCGGCGCCAGGGCCGCTGGGTCGACGAGCGAGGGGCGGCGCAGGCCTGCCTTCGCGCGCAGCACCACGCCTGCTTCGGTGGGCCCCCTTCGCGTCTCGGGGGGGGGACATCCTCCTCCTCCGCCTCCTCCTCCTCCTCGTCCTCCTCCGCCTCCGCCTCCTCCTCCTCCTCCTCCTCCTCCTCCTCCTCCTCCTCCTCCTCCTCCTCCTCCGCCTCCTCCTCCTCCTCCCTCGTCCTCCTCCTCCTCCTCCTCCTCCTCCTCCTCCTCCTCCGCCTCCCTCCTCCTCCTCCCTCCTCCTCCTCCTCCTCCTCCTCCTCCTCCTCCTCCTCCTCCTCCTCCTCCCTCCTCCTCCTCCTCCTCCTCCTCCTCCTCCTCCTCCTCCTCCTTCTCCTGCTCCCCGCGTCGCCCCTCGCCCGCGAGAAGCCTCCCAAAAAATAAACACTAGGCAGAGTCACTGCGCTGGCGATGGGGCGCGAGTGGGATGCACGGAGCGCGACTGAAGCCGCCATGCACGGGGGAGGGAGAAAAAAGGCCGGGCGCGGGCAGGAGGGAGGGAGGAGGCGAGCCCGCGCAGGGGGGGGGGCCGGCAGTGGCAGGGGGGGCGCCGAGGGCTGGGCCAGCGGCGGCGAGAGGCAGCAGCTGGGGGGTAGAAAACTGGGGCGGTCGCTGGGGCAAGCACCCAGTGGGGGGTGAACACACCCACACACACACACACACACACAAATCATCGTCGATCCCCTCAAAAAAATTGAGCTTCTACACCAGAGGAAGCAAAAAACAATCAGTGGATGGTTGGACGGTGATAGTCGATGGTGAGATCGATGGAATGAGTTCGATCATGAGATCGATGGTGAGCTAGATCGTGGAAGCTCGAAATCGGCCCAGAACCAGCAACCCGGAACCTGGGAACCGGAACCAGGAATTTGGGAACCCAGCGGCTACCGAATCGGCCCGGGATTTTCGCCAAATCTTTCAATATCCGCTGGGACCCCTTCAGTACAAGCATTAATGGGGGGAATTTGAGAAGTGAAAAGGAGAAGGCCTTCTCAGAAGGCTCGGAAGTCCCCCGGCCTTCTGAGAAGTCGTCTAAGCCTTCCCCGAAGACACCGAAACCTTCTCAGAAGGCGCGAGGGCTTCTGAGAGGTCCCGCCGCCTTCCGAGAGGGCCTTCTCCTCCTCATTTCCCCCCCTCGCTCGCCGCCGAGTAAGGGCCGCCAGGGGCCGAAGATGGCGAAAAACCTCTCGTCGTGCTCTTGTTCGGGACTCCAGGGGGGTCTGGGCAGCCTCCATCGAGGGAGGGGAAGACGAGGGTCCAGAAGGGACTCGAACGACAGACAGGGGCTCCTGGGCTCTGTGCCTGCTCGCCTGCGTGCCCCTGGGCGCCGTGAGCGCCGCTCGTCGCTCCCGGCGCCTGCTGCGGCGCGGCTCGTCCGCACGGCGGCGAGGGGGGGGAGTCCACGAAGGGGCCGCCTCGGCCTCTCGGCGCGCCTCGCCCGCAGCGGAGAGGGCGGGCGGCAGCGGAGCGCTGCTCCGTGGGCCCCCACGGCGACAGCCCCATCGACCCCCCGCGCCCTCTCCACGATCCCCCTCTTCCAAGATCTAGGCCTCCCAGATGGGGTCGGAGTAGAGTCAACTCGGGCATGTCCCTCTTCCAGGAGGAATGCTCAAAAAGATGCATTTAGATCTAATAAAGTGTTTACCTTGCTGCATTATCTTAAACCCAAAAAAAGTCTGGGGACGATTCGTTCAGTACTGGTTTTACTGTTTGGGGCATTTTTTGAGTATGTTTTTTCTAGAAAATCCGCCGGTAGGAGAACATGCCAGACCTAAGAGTAGATGGGGGCGGAGGATCGCGCCGCATCGGCGATGAGGCTGGCGGCAGCAGAGCGCAGAGTCTCCCGCCTCGCGCGCCTCCGTGGGCTCCCGCATCGAGGAACGATTCCCAGACCCCCTCGTCGGAGGAGGAGGAGGAAAAGGTACCCATACCGCTACCCTTCTCCCGCTTTTCCCCCTTGGGGGGCCTCCTGGGAGGCATTCGTCACCACCGCTCGATTCGCTTCGAAATTCTAGTCAAAACGCACCCCAGGAGAGATCCGGGAGTAGGGTATCGGTACCTCGTGGTTTCCCACATCGAGTCCTGAAAAAAGCACGACGAGAGGTTTCTCGCCATTTTCGGCCCCTGGGGGTTCTTACCAGGCCTCGAGACCTTCAAAACATGACTGAGGATGAAAAACTTGTCCTGGGGAATGAGTCGAAACCTCTGGGGGTCGACGCTTTGACCAAAAACATGATGTCGGGGGTCTGGGTTCCATGGGGCCAGGACTGCGGTAGCAATGAACAATGTCCAGTACGGTGCTCCCTTGGTTCTATTATCCAGTTCTCCCCCCCTGCCGCACTCTCTCCGGGATTGGCGTCACGCGCCATCAGACAAGGGCGTAAGGGGGCTCCACCAAATGACTGCTGCGTGGGGACAGCTAGCAGGCGCTGAAGATTATCATGGCACAGGCTCACGCGAAGCTGCGAGAGGTGATTGCCAGCAGCCGTACGCAGTGCTCCCTCTCTGCCAGAGTACCCAACTGCTTGCCACACTTGATGCTGTGAGTGGGAAGGCCGTGTCCCAGGAATCATCGTGAGTTGGGAATCCCAGCAGCTGGCGATAGGTTCCGTACGTTCTGGGCGCCCGTGGCAACAAAACATGAAAAGGATAACCGGTAGCAGTTCTGGAAGTCCTTCGACACATAACGGTTAACTCCGCCTTGCGCATGCTTCCGCATCGGGGACTTTGTAGGATCGTTGCGAAGACGCTAGTGATGCCGTTCACGTCATTGGGGACCGAGCAGCCTTCTCGCAGGCTTAGGAGAAAGAGGAAGGACAGAGGCCAGGGAAAGTGGACGTTGAGAGTGAGGATGAGAAACAGCAGGACGAGAAGACAGAGAAAGAAGAAAGAGAGAAAGAGAAAGAGGGAGAGAGAGAGAGAGAGAGAAACAAAAAAAAAGGTGAAACAGTGAAGACAAGATGCGATTTGAGGCGAACAGGAAAAATAATAAGAGGATAGAGGGGAAGAGACAGAGGCGGACGACAGCGAATCGAAAATCCGAGGAGGCGCGTGACGAGGAGGAGTTCCGCAGGAGGAAAAAAGCACGCGCACGATGCAGCTCAGGCGAGACGGAGATGGCTACCGGACACGGGCACAGGGCGCGTTTCGATTCCTCCGACTCGATTCGATTCGACTTCGATGGATTCCGATTCCGAATCGATTCGACTTGGGATTCCGATTTGGGTTCCGATCTCTTACTGGAGGCACACTAGCCTGCCGATTTTTCCGCCGATTCGACTTCTCCCGACTCGGCTGCCGATTTCTCCGCCGATCCGATTCACGTCGATTGCCGATCCGATTTATCGATTCGACTCTGGGCTCCTCCTGCGGGCAACGCGGGTTGAGAGCCCAGCCGCCGCAGCGTCCAGCGCCTGCCCCGGCGAGCGGCGGCGCGAGGGCAGCCACCGCCAGGGCGCCGACGGACCTCGCCAGTCGCCCCCCGCCCTGCCCCGCCCTTGGCGCCTAGCAGAAGGAGGAGGAGGAGGAGGAGGAGGAGGAGGAGGAGGACGAGGAGGACGAGGAGGACGAGGAGGAGGAGGAGCAGGGGGAGGAGGATGAGGAGGAAGAGGAGGAGGAGGAGGAGGAGGAGGATCCGTTTTAGGGTCGGTGCCGCCGACACTACAGTCGGGGCGCTGAATAAGGGACCCTTTTCGTTGGGGAGGGGCTCGGTGTTCCTCGATTGTTTTGCAGTTTGCCTTGGGTTTTCCTCAGGTTTCCGGTGGGAAATCGAAATTCAACGGATGGGAAAAAGGGGCCTCGTTCCTTACTTTGGGCTCCTTAGGTCAAGGCCCCGACTGTAGCATGTGAAGCCGCTCTCTGATCCATTTCGGGCGAAGCGTTCCAAGCACCGTGGCCAGACAGGCAGAGTGTTGTCGTTCTCGCCGCGTGGTGTCACGGACAGCCCTGGTCGTGACGGCGGAGACGAAGACGACCACCGTTTGTCTCCTTGTTGAGGTGCAGGTACATGGCCACTGCGCAGCTTGAACTGTTCCTTCCATCGCCGTCGCCGTTAGGATCATTGCAGCCAGCATTGCTGCCGCTGGTCGCGTCGTTGTCTCGTTGAGCACACCGTAGTCTCCACGAGGTCCCCTTTTATCAGTAAGAGCTTCGCCCCCGTGCCACCCGCCCCACTCTCTTTGAATGGGACTTGCCAGAGCTATGTTAGGATGTCTGGACGCCGACGTGAAGCAATGTCGGAACTTCACGCGAGGGCCAGTATTGATTGCGAAGGCCTTACGGCCGATGCCGCCGACCCTGGAGACAGCGTTCTGTCATTGGGGAGAAATAACAACGCAACAGGAAGAATGCTCAGTGTGGGAGAAGCGCATTGCCGACGAGGGGGAGGGTGGGAGGCTCAAGAAAACACACGGGAACCTCTTGGGGCCTCTTTGGGCTTCCTGGGGGGCCTCTTGGGAGCTTCTCGGGGCTGAGGGCTCGAAATGTCCGTTCGGGTCCCCCGTCTGGGCACTCCCTTGGAACCGTTTTGGGGGCCTTCTGTGCATCTGGGAGGCGTCTTGGGCCGTCTTGGGGCACGTTTGGGCCGTTTGGGGGCCCTCTTGGAGACCTCTTGGGCCGTGTCGGGGCGATCTTGGGAGCCTCTTGGGCCGTCTTGGCGCGTGGGGAAGTGGAAGAGGCGAGAACGCCAAAATCCTTGAAAAACGCATTGGAAATCCATGATTTGTGCCTCTTGGGGCTCTCGTGGGAACGGTCCTGGAGGCCTCTGGGGGCGTCTCGCAGGCCTCTTGGGCCGTCTGGAGGCCGTCAAGGCGTCTTGGACAGATCATTCGGCGATTCGGGGCCCTCTTGGATCATCTTTGGGGCCTCTTGGGGCACTCTTGGCCGGTCTTGGGGCCTTTTTGGGCTCCGGGATTCCCCGGGAGGGCGGCGTATAAACCCGGGACACCCCCCGGGAGCTACCCCGGGACCCCCCCCCCTTTCCTTGGGAAGGGATCAAAGGGAAGGGGCTTCCTTTCGACTCAAGTACGACGCTCTTCAATCTCGCCTTGGACTGGCTCGCCTCAGAAGGAGGCCTTGGGAGAGGGGTAGAAGCAACGACGCTGTGGGGAAAGAAGAAGGAACATCGACGACGACGAACAGGGAGCAGACGGAGAAGCCTCTTCCACACGCCGACAGGGTCGGCGGATTTACGATGAGTCATAGCTTCGGTGGCGCGAATATCAGATAGTTTAAAATGGGTTGTGGCTTCGGGGACGCGAATATTGCATAATGTACGACGGTGTGTGGCCTCGGAGACGCAACTATCGCATAAACTACGAAGCCTTATGGCCTCAGGAGCGCAATTATTTTTGTAAGATGCAAGGGCGTATGGCCTCAAGGACGCGAATCTTATGTGATTTGCCAAGGCTTCTGGCCTCAGGAGCGCAAATATTTTTGTAATTTACAAGGGCGTATGGCCTCAGGGACGCGAATCGTATGTCATCTGCCAGGGCTTCTGGCCTCGGGGACGCAAGCACGGTGCAATTTACTATTGAGTCGGGCCTGTCCCCATACAGGAAGATGTTCGACGAAAAATAGAAACTACCCCAAAAATTGTTTTTGTGTGTGTTTTTTTAAACAAAAAAAAAAGTCTGGGGACTCTGTGTGGGGTATGTTTTACCTTTGGGGGGCATTTTGGTGTTTTTTTTGTTATATATATATATATGTGTGTATATATATATATATATATGTATATATATATATAAAAAAAACGTCGAAAATCCCCGTGTAGGGGGACACGCCCGACACAAATTTACTATGGTTTGTGGCCCTGGGGACGCGAATATTGATTAATTTTCCAAAGTACTTACCCGTTACGAAAGTTATTCATCTTGACCGCTGACGACTAGGGCGTCTCCGAGTGGCCCCCCCTTCCCCCCGTAGACTCCTAGCACGGCAGTCTTCGGCCTGGCTCGGCGGGAGAGATTTCCGGGGTTCTCCCTGGTAACATTAATAGTATATAACCAATTCAGGATAAAATCTCTCCCCCGTAAACTCACAAGGGAGAAATCACTCCCGGTCACTTCCAGGCAACTCTGAATCTCTCCCCGTGTGAAACCACAAGGAAGAATCACTCCCATACCACTTCTCACCACAGCGCCCACACATGTCAAATTTAGCCAAGATGAATCAACTTTCGTAACGGGGATGTATGTGGCTTCGGGGGCGCGAACATTGTAAAAGTTACTAGTGTTTATGGCTTTGGGGGCGCGAGTATTGTGCAACTTACTAGGGATTATGGCTTCGGGGGCGCGCATGTTGCGAAATGTATGAGGGTTTACGGCGTTAGTATACTAGGGATTGTGACCTCGAGGACGCGAATATCATACACGTTTACGTGTCCCACGCACCCCCACGAATTCTGAGAACCCTCCCAGGGCGTGGTACAAAAAATTGTTTGGAGCTCCCACCCCCCGCGCGGACAGCAACAATGAACAATAAGGAAGCAGAAAGCAGGACTGTAACAGTGGAAACTGGAAACTGCAACTGGAACAGGGAGCTGCAATCCTCATCCTCGCAGCCTGGTGGCCCCGCAAGGGGGCCAGCTGATCATTGACGCTTGTCCAGAGCAGCCGACAATCAGCAGTTCCGGCAAAACCGAGGTGACATACCAATGAAGATAAATGTTTGACTGTGGATTTGATCACGGTTAAATTTTTGCACCCGCCTGAATAGTCAGCGTGGGCAAGGCCAGTGCAGTTCACATCGCACGCTTCTGTTGTTACGCAACAATTTTATCACATCGTTGTATTGGCATGGAGAACGGTATCATCCACGATGGTGTGAAACACGTGTCGATTCAGCTTGCAATGTATTCAAAGTCCGATCCATGTCCACATTTTTCCGCGCAAAGGTTGAAAGAGAAGGAGCTTGCCACTTTGTATAACCGCACCGCGTTCCCCTGGACGCTGACCCAGGACAGCCATTGCTCTCCATGCTTCGCAGTACCACTGGACAGGGAAGAGAGACTGCGAGAAGAAAAAACATATGAAGAACAGGGCGAAGCGCATGTTGAGGATTGGGAGGGCCTTTCCGGATAGTCTTGGCGCCCCGTGGGCCAGACACGTACATCGGGAGGAAAATAGTTTGGCCGACTCTTTGACCACGGCTGCCTTGATCGAGGGCACCAGTCAGTGTCAAGTTTTCTCAGAGGCACACGAATCTTGCGCTGTCCGTGCAGTTCTAATGGCGTACAGAGAGGCACCGCTGCGACGGCGGCGGCGGCGTGGTACATACAGGCCGAGGTTTCTCATGGCGCCTGGCTGCCCTGGAAAGACTGCTCTCACGTCGTGCCCAGTGCCACGAGCACGGCAGCTGAGGCCGTGGCGGCTTCTGGCTTGATTGGATACTTGCGTATGCTCGTGAAGATTCACCGCTGAGACTACCTTTGCGCGCTGACGTATGACTGCTCCGCTG